TATGGATTTAGTGTTTTATTATATATTTAATCTTATATTATATTTTTAATAGCATATTTTGTACAATTTTCATTTTAACAATTTAAATAAAGCATTTCTATGGATTAATGACAAAGGGTTAATTTATCTTATTGTTTTAAGAACTAACGGTTATCAACAGAAATATATTAAGACATTTAAAAATTCATTTTAATAAAATACATGCAAAGAATCAGCCTGAAACGGTAAACAAAGGCAAAATTATATGTGCATTCGCAAGATTAATGAGTATTGTAAAGAGAAGCATCTAGCTGATTTTAGTTTTAATTGCAAAAATGGATTGATGACGGTTATTTGTTTAATTTTCCATAGGTGGAAATTGAGCTCACGTAATGTTTAACTGCACCAAATTTATACATTTAATTATCTTCTTAATTATCAGTGTTTATCATTTATTTTTTAAACTAACGAATTGGAACAATCAGTGTATGGAAAGTTTCGTACATTTTATTTACAGTGGAAGTAGATTGCATTCATTACAGTATTGATGGTTGACACGATGAATTTATTATTGATTTCTTATGCTATTGAAGAAAACGTTCCTTTCATAATATGAAACTTTATCTCTTATTACTTTTCAGAAACATTTAAGATAACCAACGCACAAATGCAGCGAAAAATTAAGAATTTCTTTTAAGATTTCTCTGAAATTTAGAATATGAAAATGTACATGGATAGAGCTTGAAAATATAAAAATTAAAGTGTTAGTTTAATTTAGTTTCATGTTAAGTTTTGAACTGTGCCGATACATTTTCCAAAGGATTCAATGTGGTCTTGATATCATTTTTGCTTAGGTAGTTTATTTTCGTTCTTTTACATTTTACTTTTATATAATTTTGATGTTCTAATAAACATCACCAAGAAGCCATGGTTTTTTTTTTTAACTCGCCAAGGTAGAAATCGCTGCGAAATAAAATAACGACGCTGCTATGCTATCTTTCGAACGCAAGTGGGAGATTCATTCAAAATAAAAAGCGTTTTAAAAGTTTAGAATTGAGAATTATATTTTATACATATAAGAAAAAGGATATTCTAGCCTTAATTTATGATGACCCCTTATGCCACCTTTTTAATTCTATTATGTTCCCCTTTCTATCCTAAATATAGTAACATGGTTATAACAAATGACTCTGAACTCCTCATTTTCAAAATTAATACCTCCCATATAGTTCTTTTAAAACACTCATAAGCCATCTGTGTAAGTAACAGCAAAAGTGAAAATTAATTCTTAGCCAACATTAATGCTAAATTTTGCAAACCAAAACCTTAACTAACAGAAATAAAGTAGAACAATAATTTTATCATGCTGAATCTGCACCCATATTGTAATCTATGCATTTCCTTTTCAGTTTCTTTGTCTTGCTAAAACAGAATCCATCGCTTCATTTTTTCATTACAGTTACATTATTTGTATATTAAAAGAGAATTAATTATTGTACAATGCGATTTAATTGTGTATGTCAAGAATAAGAAGCGTCCAATCGGCCATGACTAAAACTATTTCTTTATGTGTCATCTTCATCATTACTTTCTATGTCAGTGCGCACAGAATATACATAATATTTTTTTGCTTCAAATTCGAATAATAATTGAAACAGAAAATATAATTTCGGCAATTTTTACTATTTTTTGCCTCTAATTTAATACATATATTTACAACCTGCGTTTGAAGAAGATAAAACTGCTATTTGCTCTTTAAGAAACACAAGTGGTGGAAGTTAAAACATTTTAAAAGAGGAAAACTATGTAATTTATCAATTAGTTAAATGATAACTTTTAATATGATTCGAAATTATTCGAAATTCTAAATTATGTTTCCCTATAACATATGAATGAAAATATTTCGTAATATCTTCATAAATCTTTTGAACATATTATTGTTTCATATCCTTTTTTTTTCTTTAATCAACAACTTTATGATACAAAGATGAGTCAGGAATTTCGTTAAAAGTCGTTCTAAATTAAAGCAGGTTTAATTTCAAACATTGTGAATGCACAGAGAGTATCTAATAAAATTTAATTTCATTGTTTTCACTTTCAGTTTACTTCATATAATAACTGCAGGCATATCAGTGAACAAAAATGTTTTCAAATATATTTTTCGAATATATCATTAGTATGGTTATTTTATAAAATAATTGTTTTTAAAGTCTATTATTGAAATTAAGACTTCTGGCTTCAGTAATATACAAAGGATAACACTTCCATTCTCAAAGAAAAGTTTAATTTACACTACCCACCAAACCGCATAATCAGTACGCTTTGAAACTTAAAAGGCAACAGTGGAAAAAATGAAAATTGCTGTAACAAATCTGTAGCAGCTGGAAATTGGAGAAGATAAGAAACAGTTCACCAACGGCACAAGGAAGAGAAAGGCCTTGAAAATTCCCAGTATGCCGTTTATTACGCTCTAAATGCAGGTCTTATCAAGCATTTGTTTTCTTATGCTTTAAGTTCTTCCCAAGGACACCCAACGGTCGTTTCAACCGATGTGCAGTAACGAAATGGAACAGACTTGATTAGGGTTATTTTAATTGAAACTTTTATTGCAGCGAGTTCTTTTTTGTACATGTTTTTCGCTCATTGCTGCTGCTCATGATATTTTTGCCCGGCCTCCATTGTTAATGAATTTGTTTACCTTATGAAAGCAGTAATTATACGACAATAATATATCTTCTTTTTGTTTTCTATATCCCAAAATATTAAAAATTTGGATAATTTATAATTATATTACATATCTTGGGAGCAAGATGGAATAATGCTTCCGTAAAGTTTATACTTGTTTTTCCTGTAACCTTTTAGAATACAAAAAGGTATGTTAAACAATTGTTTTTGGACAAAATATGGAATATCTGAAAGGTGTCTTTTTTGCACAAAAAAAAAAAAAAAAAAATTAAATAACAAATTTGTTGGAAGCAAGAAAGAAATATTTTATTATTATTTTTTTAAGTAAGTGAAATTTAAATTAGTAATTTAGAAAATAAATATTATTTCGACTTTTATGATTCTCTCAAAATAAGTCTCATTGCTTTTCAAAACACACAGATACTTTTATGCGACTCTTGAGGAACAATAATTGGGAAAAAATGCCGGTCATAAGACGCACCTTAATTTAAGTGACATTTGTATGCGAAATATATTGCGCCATACGCATTTACAAGTAGAAAAATGCGTCCAGCAAATCTATTCGTCACATCTCTAAACCAGGTAAAAAATGTTTGGAATAAGTCATAAGAGAAGAACTGAAAAGTAAAAGACTTTTTCCCCGTTGAAATTCGTATATATGTTGTATAGAAAGAGACATTATTTGCATAATTAAGCTGAAAATGTTTATTATTAAATGATATTTCAATAGCATTGTAAGTATGGAGTATCTCTAAATATTAATTTTACTGAGTAATCAATATCTTTAACATAGAGTGCCCGAATAAAAGGTTCCAAAACAACACACATATATAGAGCCCAAAATAAGTATTACATATATTTCTTTAACCTGTGGCAATGTAAAAAAACTATGAAAATGTTTCCGACAAACATCCAAATAATATTCGATCCTAATTTAGAATATCTGAGGTATCTTTAACTCTACGAACAGCATCCCTTACGTGGACATTTAGGTTCTGGAAGTCATCGATGATCTTGATGTCTTAGGCAGTATAATGAATGAAATTATGCAACAAAAGTTTTGGAATTAAATCTAAAAAAAGAAAGAAGGCTTTCTAAGACGACTTAGCGAACTCGGTTACTCAGCAGGAAGCCAGAATTTCAGGATTCATTGATTCATTTGACTTAATATAATTTACATGAGTTTCGTTCAATACATATAGTTTATATTAATTATATAACTGCTATTTATACATCTGGAACTATTTGCTATAGAACATTAATTATAATTAGGAAGAGTCAAAAACCTCAAAATTTTCAGTTCAGTTTCAAATGTATGTCCGCATCAATTTAGTTTCAGTGTACATGTCATGTATGCTTAGTAGTCAATAATGCTGTCATGTCATGCCTAAATTTTTAATTCAGTTTCAATGCACATGTATGTCCCCAAAATTTTCGGTTCAGTTTCCGTGTATATGTATGTAGCTGAGAGACAGACATTTTAATTAGCATGTCTGTTGTTATTTGTTGCATGAAACATTTCTGAAGATGACGAATACTTAGACTGAATTATTCACGTGCAGCGAAAGCTGCATTTAAAATTATTACATTTTTTCTGCATTATTGTGTATGCTGATTATAAAATGATATGTTTAAAAATGAAAGGCACCTTACACTACAATAACTAAAAGGTTTCCTTTGTAGGATGCTGCACTCTGGCAACGCTAAACACTTTATTGTAAAAAATATTGCACAACTACAGAAATTAAACTAAATTTGATAGAATACTTTATAACCTGCATATATATTATTTTTCAAGTTTTATCACATTACAGCTTACATTTCTAACGTTCAACTTGACCTACACATTTCGGGACACGTTGAAAAGCCAGTTTTCTAGCTCTTCGAAAACATTCCCCAAACTTAATAATATCATGAACTGCTTTTTTGGCCATACACTCATCAGGATCATAAGCTCATCGACAAAATGTGCCTTAACAACTTGGCTACTGTTTTCACAGTAGCATTTGTGTGCTACTGTGTGTTTCACGGTGGCATCTTTTAAGCATTGTGCCTAATGCTTAAAAGTATGTTTAATGCCTCAGACTTTTACATAACGTATACTGACACACTAATCGTTTTTCATTACTTCTTGTTACATTTTATTGTTTCTATAGTTGAACTTCTGTCGCATCAGTTCTAAAGTAGACATTACTCAAATTTAAAATAATTTAAAATATAAGCATTTGCTTCGTGTGCGCACACAATTAGCAGAATTCTTTTGGTTGTTGACGTTACGAAGCGTAGGATTGATTATTTCAAAGGAAAGGGGAAAAAAGTAAAGTCAAGTCACAAACCCAAATTAAGCATTCCTCCTATCACCAACCATCGTTGGCAAAATCGAAGAAAAGTCTGGATGGTGACCCTCAACCCTCCCGGTACTCCCTTTTTCCCTCGCACTTCTTCCAGAATTCTGTTAGTTCCGCCTTTGCAGCTCGACGCCTCCACGCAGAATCCTTGAATCCGATCCGAGCCCAGCGGCCATGACAGTTCGAGTTGTGACGTCACAGAATGCAACACCACCTACCTTCCCACTTCTCTGGCATCTTTTTTGCGCGATGGATAGTGAGGAAAAAGGATGGATAGTCAGAGGAGAATGAATCGAGTTGGAAGGATGGGGATGGGAGGCTGGGAAGAAAGATCTCTGAGAAAAAGCGAAGCTAGGGGTACTGCTTATCTCCCTCGTCTGCCTTTTTCACATTCGAACGGTCCTCTCTCTCGCTTTCCTTAACCCCTCTCCTTACCACCTCCTTGAAAAGACCCACAGGGAAAAGGGGACATATGCGAGATGCAGTTACGCCTGACGATAAGCCTAAAAATAGGCTCTCTCCGAATTCTGGTTTGAAATGAAACAGCGCATGCGCTTTGGAAATCCGTTCTAATACTCTTGGGGGATTTTATATTCAGATCTACGTCACGGCGCTTTTGTCATGAGAAGACTCCAGGAAAATTTGTCTCTAAGCCTTCAGAAGATGACTAGAGATTTAAGATTGTTCTAATTTGGTTTGTATAGCAAACACATATTTGAAAGCAACATAAACAAAGCCTATATTTGAAAAACAGTAAATGCGAAGGTAATATCAGATAAGATACGACTATTCGTGAATTAATTTTTTAAATCTTAGGAAATTTGTGGTGCATTTCCTTTGTGTTTCCCGCCTGCTGTGGGATTGTAGTCATCTCGTTTTATTAGAAATGTAACCATACTAGTACCATTAATATTAAAACATTTGTTGGTTATGGCATTACCACTAAGTCTAGTATATGAATGAGATAATCCTAGTATTTTCGCTTGAAGCAGGAAAAACTGAGCAAGAAAATAAAATAATCCTTCTCTGTGACAATAGAAATCAAATTCTTATTCCCGAAAAATAAAAGCTGAAAGTCGTACAGTCATGTCATTTCACAGCAAAATAGAAATCACATTTCAAAACTACAATCTACCAGGGATTTAGGTGTGCTGTTTTTCAAGATGAAATCAAATTCTAATCAAAGTTATTACTTCAGTCTTTCTGAATTACATGTCATCGTAGAGCTCTGGTCTCCACTACAATCCTTAAAAAAAAAACATTCGTTAAAAAAATAACACCAGAAGTCGCTTAAATGCTCCACATGAAAACCTGAAGTTATCATCGGTTGAAAGTGGAAAAAAAAAAGTCCAAAGAAGGAACACATACACAACAAAGGAGAAGGATTCATGCAACTTTTTTCTATTCTATTTTGTGTCTTAATTTAGGCCTGCTATTGCATACAGTGCACTCTAGCTGCTGCTTTTCTTGAATGGATTGCTAATGTCACCAATAGCGTACAATTCACAGCAACAAAAATGGTTTAATTTATGGGTCTTTGGAGAAACGTTTCTATATAACCAAGTTCTGACAAAATCATGAGATCTGGCGATAGCTGAAAATGAGCTGAGATATTATTCTAAATTTCAAACTTTTAAAATATGATTTTATTAACAAAACATTAATTTAGAACAAAAAACTGCATCGAAATTTGGTGAAGATCAGCCATGGTTTTCCACTAAATAGCTTCAAGAATTAAAAAGTTTGGAAATCGCCGAGTTAGTTAAACCTCTGTATGTTTCAGCTCGCTGAGTATTTTAAACAAATATTTTTAGCACTCAAATTTTTTATACATAATTATAGGATTTCTATCTGCATGTTTTATTTTAAACATTAGCTAAAAATCAGAATCAATTCTATGTATGGAAATAATTTTAGATACCTCATTTAATAAAATCTTTGTGAATTATACATTTACAAACGACTCATTAAAGGACAAACATAATAAATATTCAAGAAAGAAGAGGAAATTTTAAATGACTCTTTCCTTAGGGAGCTTCAGCATCAACATATTTAACGAGAAATATCATGAGATATTATTGTAAATATATTAATCACTACAAAAATTGATTGGCTGTTTTTCCACTGTAAAGAGCATACTTTTATTACGAATGAGTTTAGAATTTATATTTGGATTGTTTATGTTTATATACCAATCTGGTAGAACTGGAAAAGGAAAAAAAGAAGAAGAAATAAAAAAAGTGGGAAAAGAATGCACAAGGACAAATCTGCCCTTATTTCTGATTAGCTTATATTCATAAAAGTTGACAGAATTATAAAAAATTCTCAAACTTAATTCATGAATAATATGCTAAAGACATTTTTTTAATTTAGTTATGTTAGCGGTAAAGGTACAAAATTCAGTACTATATAGAAATGTAGCTGCCAACTTTTATATGTATTATATGATAAGCTTCTTTTTTTCTAATATGTTGGTTGGTGTTGGTGTATTTAATTACGGCAAAGCACACTAGGGCTATCTGCCTAAGGGGAGGGATGCCTTCGTGGAGGACTTTCTGAGGGAAACGGGCTCGTATACACGTTACACATGGGGAAAACCACGAAAACACCCATGCAGCCAGCCCGTTCGCCGGATTCGAACCTCGGACCGAACTACCAGTGTTCAGCGACTTAACCGCTCGGCCGCTGGTGGGCCTTTTTTCTAATATGTCTCGATCGATCTACCGATCTTGAGGCACCGTTATACATTAAAACTTGTGCCTTGTGTGTGTTTCACTATTCAAATGTATGTAGACGCAAAACTGTAGCACAAGCAGAGTAGATACATTCGCTACATTTGATGGTGCTGGGGTACGTTACAGACTAACATGTTACCAAAAGTCTCTAGCTCAAAAGGTCAGACCAGTGTTTAGAGATATAACATCATTTTCTAACGCTTTTCTTTCACTATTAACTGAATTGGAAATTTTGCTCCAATATGTTTTACATTTAAATCTCTTTAAAAGTTAAAGGCAGGAAGTGCACAATAATGTTTTTTTAAAATAAAGAAATCTATCTTCAGTCTTAAATCACTTTTTTAATTTTTGTAACGCATTTCTTAATGTTCTAGTTACAATTCTGAAATTTTTGTAGGTGATCGGAAATATTTAGAAAGTGATTCAAACTGTTTTTTTACGATCTTTATTAGCATAGCAAACTTTATTCCGTATGCATTAGCGTTATTGATCATTTTGTTAATTGTCTTTTTTTCCCTTGCAATTCTAAATTTAAATCAGTTAATTTAAAATATGTAAGAAGCGCTAAATCGCTGAGCGAAGCTTCATCATTTAGGTTTGCACAATTTTGATCTTGTTCTTCAAGAAGAACTTTAACCTCAGTTAACAAATCACTAAATTGTTACAGTTGTTTACTTCTATTTAGCCATCTTGCATCGGTATGTAATAATAGTTCTGGCTGTCCTTCATTAAGCAGCATTTGAAAGTAACGTCGTTTGAGGTAACTTTGTAGAATAGAATTCACAATTTCGAACGCTATATTCATACTTATTTTACTATTGTTTTTGTATGTCCATCAATCTTTTACTGGCTAATACACGGGTACCTCTGAAATGTTTCAGCTTCAGCTAAATGGTAAAGCTAAACTTATAAATTTTAGTTGTGTTAAAAGTAGTTTCCTTCAACATAAATGCACTTTTATAGATGAATTTTGTAAAGACTGAATGCTTTAGACCATCCATTTCTTGAAATCGATGAAAACACACGCTTCTATAGCTTCATCAGTCTTATCTTCGGAACGAAAACGACGGTCACTTAAATTTTATTTAAGAATTTGGTTTAAAAAATAGCCAAAGGTCACACATAGCAAGACGAGAAGAATAGAAAGGATGCCTTATCACGTTGATGTATTTCTCAAGAAACGTGACTGACAGTCTTGCTGAATTAGAACAGTGCTCCGCAACCGGTGTGCCATGAGTAGGATATAGGTGTGCCGCAATCAAATACATGTATTTGACATTTTGAATTTTTTATCATGTATTTAATACACAATGACAATTTTTTTCCTTGATAATGTCTATTTTAAATGTTTTTATATATTTCACTTGTGTGGTTGTGTGTGTGATTGTAAGTGTGTTAGCATTTGAATTTTTTTCTGCACTTCCTTGATAACTCGGAACTCTTTGGTGTGCCACGAAATTCCAGAAAGATTTTTTGTGTGTCGCAGGTGAGAAAAGGTTGCGGAGCACTGAATTAGAAGATGCTAAAAGGCTTTAACCAGTCCCGCACTTCTGAAGAAAAACGGCATATATTACTTTTTTTTAAAAATTTCTAGTTGTCTTTTCACCATTGTTGGTTGGGAGTCATCTTCAAAGATCTCTGTTTTACTTTCTTGACGTGTTGGAATGTCAAAAATGGTATGCACGTTTCATCACCCATTAAAATTTTAAAAATAACGCCATGTTCACCATCGTCATGTAATTTCAAGGTTTCTTTACGGTTCTGATACACTGTGTTATTTTTAATACTGTTAACATATGGAGACTCAACGACACACTCATTTTTCCATACGCATTTCTTCATAAATACGTAATTTTATAAACAACTGGTGATCCGGTGCAAAGTTCTTTCTATATTATTTGGTAGGTAGAGCGATTATAGTTAACGAATATTTTTCATATCGCCGACACATTTTCTGGGACACATTTCACGACTGACTTATCGGCCATTCTTCGTATAGAATGCCTTTCATATAAAATTTACTAAACATAAGCTTAAAGTTTTAGTTCAAATGTTTAAGCTATTAGTTCTTAAAAGAGTTTATGACCCTTTTAGACTGCTCTTGCAAGGTACGAAATTAAAGTTCGGTAACGAAGTTTTTGTGTTATCAAACATGGGATTGAGACAAGTAAATAATAAACATGGAATTAAGACATAGAGACATGGACTATAATAAATATGGAATTAAGACATAGAGACATGAACTATAATGAACGTGGATTAAGATATCGAAGCGAGGGCCATAGTAGGCATGGTACTAAGAGATTGAGACATTTCTGTTATTAGTATTTTATGAATGCAATTACTAATACAAAAGACATGCTAATAATTATGAGACTTATAACATTTTATGTTTGGCATAAGAGAAGAAGATTGCTCAAGTTAGACAAAATAAGATATATTAATAGGATAAATTTTGAACAATTTGCTCATAAGTTCCATAATATGAATTAGTATAATATGAATAATAGTTTTAAAAATGATAACTAAATGTTAATATTCTTATTGATTACTAGTTATAACTCATTATTGTCTTCGATATTAAAAAATATGTTTGTTAATTCATAAAAGTCCCAAACATGAAAATGAAATCTTATTATTTTCACATAAAATCTTTAAAAATGCCAGAAAAAGTACTAACGCACATATAAAACTGCCTAGCGTTAGATAGTGGGAATATTAACTAATTGTGAATAGGTTAACGTGTTTTTGAAATACATAATCATTTGTTTAATATGTTAAATGCATTATAGCTCAGTGTTTTCTCATAATTTTGAAATTGCTGTAACTATCCTGTAAAGAAGTAGTTGACATCTGTTCACAGAACCCGTACATTAGATTTCAGAGCATGCATAATCTGCGGTCACCTTTAGATGATGTGTATATATTACACAAATTTTGATTCTATAATTAAATTTTATATGAAATTAACTTGAATAAACATATAAACTTGTTCCAGTTTTCTTTAAACATCATATAGTATTAAGCTTAAAGAAAACTAATTTATAAAATGGTCACTCTGATAAAACATTAATATTAGAATCGATTGTAGTTTAGTATGTCTCTTTTCCGCTTCACACTGCATTACGTTATACTACTACAACACAAATCATCCACTCATCCTGATACCCAATCAATGGCCGAGTTGTGAAGATAGTTTATCACTGATAATTCGACCTCGGTTCGAGCCCAGTCCCATGGGCTGACTGCATGATTAATTTTGAGGTTTTTCAAATGTGTAACATGAATACCATCCAGTTTCTCATAAGACGTCCGGCATTCATTACCTTAGGTAGATAGCCCATGTGTGCTTTGCCATATTAAAATAACCTAACCTAATAACTCATTATGATAAACTGCCAGTTTTTAGAGCCATAACCACTGTTTAGTCATTTGATCACAAGATTCTTTAATTTATCTTTCACATAATAGCCATGAACTGCTTATCAAATGTAACAATGTACAAAATGTAGAAGTATTTTTTTTTTCAAATTTCTAATAGCAGATTACAAAGCTGTAGACAGAAGCAATTATGAAGGACAAGAAAACTAAAAATAGTATAATTTATAAACAGTATAATCTATAAATAAACAGTATAATCTATAAATAAACAGTATAATCTATAAATAAACAGTATAATCTATAAATCTATATAAGTTTATCTATTTTGTGTCTCTCCTCACAATTTCTCTCTCACAGTGATCCAGTATTAAACGCAGGGCGACAACTCAGATATGGGGCATCCATTTCCTTATGGAGGTTGCTTATTATAAATCGAGCTTGGAACAATATTCATTCGATGCAGATGTTTTGAAAGACAATCATAGCTAGTAAAAAGAAGAAAGATAGATAGAGATTTATTTCTGGGCCATAAAGGAATGTCAAAAATTCTGTTAATCTATACTTTATGGCTGTTTCTTTTAGTAAAGTCTATCCAAAAAGCTTCTCTGTTGTAATTTTTTATTGCTCTTTAGGCAGTGTAAAAAGGATGTGGTAATCAGTTATTTGGAATATATTGATCCCTTTCTTTGCCAACAAATCTGCCTTTTCATTTCGGCCACACACGGAAGGCCACAGTGTGATAGCGTAAACTGCATGGTAAATTATTTGATATAGTTGTTTAATAACTGTTAACATTTCAAAACATCAAAAGATATTGGTGATTCAAAAGAAGAAATGGCTAGAAGAGCAGCTTTAGAATCAGAGATTATGACAAACTTTGCAACGTGTTCAACGTGACTCTGGAGTTGGGATAAGGCATGGCCATAATTTCAGCATTAAAAGTAGTCCTTTCCTTCCAACAGGACTGTAAAATGAAAAACCTTCAAAAGACGCCAGCGCCTCCATTAATACTGTTAGCCAACTTTAAGCCATCTGTAAACATAACAGTATAATCTACATAATAAACATGTAGCCATTCACTACGGAAGAAAATATAAAGAGGAATATTAAATATATAATTTCGGAATATAAAGTATTAATGGTTTCCAAAGACATAGATTCTATGTTTGGAGTTTTAAAATTTAGATTAGATTTTAAAATTTAGAAGTAATGTACCTGTGTAATTTAGCGTGGAATATATATACATATATAAGTACACTGCTAATCAGTACAAAAAAACTGAATTAGTATTATCTTCATAAATGTAAACAATGAAGTATTTATAAATATTGTTTATAGTGCGAAAAGTGTTTGTAAGTATTGTTATAGTGCAAAATGTGATTTCTGATATAATGTATGAAACTTATTTATTTTTATAAATATTTCCACCTTCTGTTCAAATAATAAAAAAATTTCATAACTCCACAAATTATATATCTCATTTACGGAAATATGCGTAACCATTAGTCATGCATTACTTTATATCTTTTATATTGAATAACTGACAATACCATATTTAAAATCATTTTCATGTGTGTTTTGTATTTTATGACAGAATGAAGAGATAATACTCAGTGAAGAGAAGAGCTAACCCCTCGGAATGCATCTACAAATAGGCTCTTGTATAATTTGGAGTACACATAAAGGTAATTAAAATATTACTTTGAAAATAGACAGATGTTTTGGTATAAAATGTTTGATTATTCCAGCTGTATCTAATCCTTCACATCGGGAATTTTGCTGAATGAAAATATGTAACTTTTACTAGAAACTTCATTTTATACCAATAATTGCGGAAAAGTAAAATGTACTATGGCGAGTGACTACTATTATCTGTTTTAAAATTCAAAAGTAATTTCTTTAAAGCTATTCTTTTATTTTTCATATCAATATAAAGCTCATTTAGGAGATAACAGATATTATTGATTTAATGTTCCTAAATTATTCGAGGGACTTTTGCGCGGAATAATAGTACACCAATGTAATTTTATTGCGTTTCAATGATATATCCTTTGTAATAAACATCAGATTCACTAGACTGGAAATTAAAAAATCTAGGAAAGCATTCATAGATAGAATAATATAAAAAATATGTTTTTTATGCTGAGAGCGTTAAACACGTAAATCCATCTACGAATTGAAGTACATTTTTTGCTTAACAACATACGTCATTAATTAATACACTAGCTGCAGAAGTGAATACAGCAAATTAATTCGCGAAACTGATACAACGCCTAATAGATTGTCTTAGAATCTCTTTTCATTTACTTACCTAGTTTTAAATTTAAACATAATGCTATGAAAAAATAATTTCCATGGCAATGAAACAAAACTGAGTACCATTTGCCTGCTTCAAATTTATAGTACTAATATGAGGGTAAAATAATTGGCGGCTTTAAATAGTAATATGTGAAATATAGCCTATACTTCTAGTGCTCGAATATTCTTCTCTCATTTCTGAGAGAAATGAGAGAAGAATAGTGAAAACAACATAACATAAATTTAAATGGTAGTTCGCCCCCCCCTTTTTTTTTAATCGTAAGGATTGTAAATAATTGTTTCAAATTTAATAGTACCTAAGTACATTAAAATGTGTAAATGGTAACTATAAAACAAATGCATACATGGTAAAACCTAGAAGACCGGTTCGTTAGTTCAATGGTATTTTATGCAAGTTTTGACAAAGACACTTTTCTGAGTCTGTGAAAGCTGATATTTTCTGTCACAGTCAATGTAATTTTATTTAACAATATGTTTCGAAGTCTTGTCCGTACGCTGTATGGCAAGCATGATTAGTTATATGTCATTTTGCTGACATACATTTTCTTGCCTTCACTTTTGTGACGTCAAGCTTATTCCATCTATTCTAACCTCCTTGACTATAACCGGCGTACCGCCTTGCAGATTTTTTCCACCGAATATTATCACCCTTTATTATATATTTAAAGAAATGAAAAAATGAAGAATCTGTATAAATGTATGCAGACTTCTTGCATTGTGATTAAACTACGGTACCTAGATCCATCAAATTTTGAATAACTTAATTCTCCACCCGAACATGGGCACCTGGAAGCCTGAATTTTGAATTTCGAATTTATTTTATTAACTATTTTATATTTTGTAAAAAATTAACAAATAAATTTTCGATTAACAGAATTAACTATTTAAAAGCGAGCAGTTGAACCGCTGTACGAAAAAAAAAAAAATTATCTCCAGTAAAGGACAGGGCTAAGTGTGGGAAGCACCAACATATCGCCATTGACAGAACTGGTGTCGCTCCTTCACACTAACCGTCTTGAGAAGAACACCTCCACAGGGTGTACTTACGCCACGCATCGGTGTTAACTGAAACGTTATCATCAAGGCATTGAGAACTTGTGGGCCGAAAGATATAGTTGCCGGTGACAATGACATTACAATACCATACATTACAGTTGATGGTGAAATATACTTATAAATATCAGTATATGCACACAAATAAACACAAATAAACAAAAAGAATTGAATGGAAAAACATAATTAACTTGGTCAAGTTACTGTGATATTAATGGGATGTTTTTGGGATAGTGTAGCAGTTTGTAGATGGTTCACAGTTCATTGATAGTTCATGAAAAGTTCATGGATTGAGTCAGAGTTCATACATACAATAGAGTTCACCAGTTCCAGTTATTCCATTTTTGATGTGCATAACTGTGGTCGTATTGTCTAGGTGCTAAATCCTTGCTACACTACGATAATCTATTGCAATGACTGTAAAGGCATCCTCATTGAAAAACTGGCTTTTGTGCCGAGAAGAAGAAGCACTTATAACAGTTATGGTGCACACATTTCCAAGCCGTGACGATGGAGTATATCAATTATCTTTTTGATACTATTGTGGATTTTCCAGTGCTTTATCAGGAAGCGTTTGAAGTCTGTTCCTGGTGCTGTGGGATGGCGGATATGATGGTCTGCTGTTATTGGGCATTGGAATAAGTAATGGTCTGGATCACCCGGATTGCTACAAACGCATATTTCACTCTCTGAAAGGTTTCGTTCATAGAAGTACTTTGGGTACGGTCCATGATCAGAGATATATTGAGAGAGATAATAATTATAAATGGTGCGCTCAGTATCGACACATGGGAGAAGTGAATGGGTCCTTCTGCCTTGAGGTCCTTGGTCCCATTGTCTCTGTCACTCTTCTTTGGCCATCACATTTAGCGTAAACATCAGTGTGGAGCGTGGCAATGGGATCTGGATAGTAGTGCCTAGATGTTCGAGGGCTGCCTATTTTTTATCTCCAGCGTGCGAGTCTGTCTATAGGAAATTCTAAAGATATGCTGTTTCTAAATATTTTGCGATTTTGCTTTAGGATTGAAATTTGTGTGGCGTAACGGCCAAGAACGTGATATTTAATAAAAAAGTTAACACACAAATTGTTAATAGTAAAAAGATAAAAAAGGAGTTTTGTAAAGCCATCTTAGTAATTGATATGATAAGCTGAGTAAAGACTGAAAAAAACAGAAAAATGTATGCGAACACTTGACACTGTATCGGGAATTCTAAATAATACCGCTATGCTGTTAAAATTTTTGTAAATTTACCGTTGAATTGCATATGGCTTAAGTGAGTAGGAAATGATGCATAATAATAAAAATGAAAAAACAAAAAAAAAAAAAAAAAAAAAAAGGGTTTACTAGGAGTGTAACAGCAGGCTAGAATCTCAGTGAGAGAGCAAAAACTTCAAAAAGTAATTTTTGGCAATCATTAAAAATCTGAATTTCTTTTTTACTTATACTTTTGAAAATACGAATTAAAGATGTCTAGAAATTTAAGTTTCATTAAATTAATAGCTTTAAGCAGTTTTAGTTAAAAGTATGAAGATAATGAATTTCTTTCACTGCCACATTTTTTTTTCTTATAACTCTTTTATGCGGCTGGCAGAACCAGCGACTAGGTTTCAAAGAAATAATATAACGAAAATAATATATATATATTGGCAATCCCTAACACTTTTATCAAGAATTATAAAGACATTCTCTTTTTAACATTTTATGATTATGCTGCTGAACTTTATGTGGCATAAGTGCGAAGAAAGCGATGCTTAGAGCTAAAGAGAAAAAAAAAAAAAAAGTTATCAGGAATGAATTCAAGAGCAGATTAGTACACTGCGATGCTCAGCGAAAGCGTAAGAAACCTAAGCGAATCCTCCGGTGCGATGTTAAATATGAATTTTTTCAGATTTCCTTTCTTTTTTTTCATTAACTTCTTTTAAAAATAATAAATCACTATAACATTTTGAGACAATAATTTGAAAAGTGATTCGGGCACACAAATAGTACTCACAAAAAGTGAGTTTCCAGCACGTTTGGTGCTAATATATATATATATATATATATATTAGCACCAAACGTGCTAGAAATATATATATATATATATATAGAGAGAGAGAGAGAGAGACGCGAGAGAATTTATATATATATATACTATATATATATATATATAATTCTTCTCTCGCGTCTATTTCATTCCCCAAAATTTGTTCTTAGTACTTATTTTTGTACAGATTAAATTACTATTTATTTTAACGAACCTACTGCATTAAAAAAATTCTGTATTTTTATCAGAATATCGAACACTGCTGAAGGGCATGTGAATATTTCTATCCTGATACGTCGTGGCCCACTTCTGAAAGGACTGTACGAGTTCCCATTTCAAGTCGCAAACGAAGTGGTTTTTAAAGGGTTAATCCCACAATGGTGACGTGAAAGTCGGGGCAAGGGTAAAATCAGCGGAAGTGAGGGTAGTAAAGGGGCGAGTGAGGGGCCTTTCCAGGGGCTGTAACGGAAAGGGGTAGAGTTTTCAATGGGTTACCTCTCTTTTTTATTTTTTAGAAAGGGTGAATGACCGAATGAAACCCCAGGTGGGGACGGGAGGGAAAGGGGTACTACTAGGGAGAAATGTTTTACGTCACGAGTTTTTCCGAAACCGTGACCTTCATTTTGACAAAGCAATGTGTACAATTTTATAATTTTGGCAGGCATTTTATATTCTCCTAAATTTACATGCTGAAAGAAATATACAGTCACACCTTGACATTACGACACGACACCTAGAATTGATTAAAAGGCAACGCACGAAGTGGAGTGAGTACTAAAATGATTTAAAAAGCTTTTTAATGTATCACTGAGATGTTTTTGGTTAAATATAGAATTTCCAGAAAAAGAATGAAATAGAGTGAACCCTCTGCAAAAGAATCATTACGGTTTCTGTCGTTTTTGTCTTCTTTGGATGTGGTTACATTAAAGGAGATGTCTGTTGGTGATGGTGAGCATTTGTTTTCATAGTGAGTTTACCCTATTCAAAGTGCTTGGAGTCTATGTAAAAAATATATGTATTGTTTTATTAATATAATTATTCTAATAAAATTGCAAATTATTCGTAAAAATAAGTGGCGACTAATACACGAAAAATTGTTATACTTAATTTTCTGAAAGCAAATTTTAAAATATAGGAAACCGATCTTATGTGTAAGCAATCATATCTGTGTATTTGATCTTATATGAAAAAAACATTAGAAAATTCTTGCGATAATTATTTCTAAGTTTACTAACAGTTTGTGTAAGTTAAATTCCTCTTCTTAGCTCATTACGATATTTGCTAA